TTTTTGATCTGTTTTCAATCTACAACTCAAATCTGGTTTTGTCTCTTTTTGGTTTGATTGATTTTAGAGTTTTCTTCACTGATCAGTTGATAGATCATTCATCTTTGGGGTTTATTATTATCCTCAGATGTATTGAAATGGAAAAACTCAGTTGGATCTTGTCAATAGATTGAGGTCTTGATCTGTTTGAGTCCTTTGTCTTTAATGCCAATTCTTCTTGTCTGAAACAGGTTTGTGCTCATTACAATTTTGGACCTCTGTGCATATGTCTATCCATGAACTACTTGGATCGGTTCTTAACATCCTATGAATTGCCAGTAAGTTTGATTCATCTTCTTGCAGCTTATCTCTCGGATTGGATTGTATATTATTTGAGACAATCGCTGATCGTGTGTGTGTGTGTGTTTCGATCGAATAGAAAGACAAGGCTTGGGCTGTTCAGTTGCTAGCTGTCTCTTGCTTATCATTAGCAGCCAAAATGGAAGAAACTGATGTGCCTCAAACTGTTGATTTACAGGTGCAACACACATTTTAATCCTTAATAGCTTAGTCTTAAGAACAATCGAAAATGGCGGTTTCATGATAACGGTTTTGATGAGCAGGTGAGAGATCCCAAGTTTGTTTTTGAAGCTAAAACAATAAAAAGGATGGAACTTTTGGTACTCAACACATTGAATTGGAGATTGCAAGCTCTAACCCCATTCTCCTTCATTGATTATTTCATCAATAAGATCAGCGGTCACGTGTCAGAGAATTCGATCTATAGATCATCACAATTCATCTTAAACACCACTAAAGGTGCGTCCTTTATTGATCGGAAGCAAGCTATATACTATTCTTTCCTTGTTTGTGACTAACTTGCTCTGTTTGAAAAATTGAATGCAGAAATTGAATTCTTAGACTTCAGGCCTTCTGAGATAGCTGCAGCAGCGGCAATGTCTGTTTCCATTTCAGGAGAAATAAAGTGCATTGATGACAAAAAGGCAATGTCTAATCTCACATATGTAAAACAGGTAAAACCATTCTAATATATTAGCTTCGAGTGGTTGCAAAAGACCCAGAACTCTCGAACTTTGTAGCTTCCGTACTATAAACATTCGGTATGAAAGCTGAATGAGACATACCCTCATGACCAATTTTCGGATTTGAATGTTTTATTGTTTGAAGAACACACATTTCACCAAGTGCTAAAATTTGATCAGTGCATAATTGTCCTTGTTTAGCAGGAGAGAGTTGAGAAATGTTTGAATTTGATGAGAAATCTCACAGAGGAGAATGTATCGGGAGCTAGATTATCACCGCAGCAGTCGCGATTAGCGGCAAGAGTGGTACCGGCGAGTCCAATTGGAGTGTTGGAAGCAACATGTTTGAGCTATAAGAGTGAAGAGAGAACAGTTGAGTCATGTACAAATTCCTCACAGAGTAGTCCAG